TTCAAAATCACAGCGGAGAATTAGGTTTCAGTGTAAATCGAAAAAGTGTGCATAACATAATTAGAAACAATCAGAAACTTTGGAAAATTTATTTCAAACATTTTTTTCAGTAGTCAATCCAGCCGATTTGTTTTTTATTTGTGGGTAGCCGAATATTAAAGTACAACTAGAAAACCTAATGCTAGTGTTGTACAGTAAGAAACGTTTGTTAATCGGGTGCAATTGTGAAATATGTTAGTGCAGCTTATCGGCTCTGTATGGTTTTTAAATTCAGTATTACGTAAATTACAATGCAGATGTCCTCGTCTGCACTCACTTCTTTACTGTGTTAAGGAAATATTCAGGCGCGATCTAATGACAATGCAAGATACTAAAGATATATTTAGTATTTTCGTCCTCATAAAAAGTGAAAAGTGGTGACTAGTCAGATTTGTAACCGGATGAATTTGCATATTATATTTTTAATGACGCCATTTATTACAACACAGTGACAATTCAAGGGATAGTTAGCCATAGGGTCTTTGTTAAATAGTGACTCAAGGGTTAAGCGGCCACAGTTTTACATGAATAAATGCACTGCCCCACACAAGTATGTAAGGATACATATTTTAGACCTTATTGTGTAAACCTGTTTGTTAACCTTATTGTGTAAAACTTTTAAAAATGAGGCCTAAGTAGCCATTGTCAGATCAGGTAAGGTATGGAAATAAAATGGCGATTACACTTAATAATGATTTGTATTATTACAAAGGAGTAATTGTTGAAATTCTTAAGATAAAGAAAGATAAAGATTAAGTAACCCATACTTGCATCATTATTATTTAGGAAACACATTGAAAAGGAAACAAAGTTACTCAAATGTTTTCTTTTTGAGAAATTCGTCTGTCGTGGGTGTTTTCATACAGTCGTGGTCATGTCAAAGCCAAAAGCCAACACGAGTTTTACAGAAAGACAAAATTCAGAATTTTTCGAAGTCATTGGCACTAACCTGTGCATGAATTTAATAAGAGAGAAATCCTCAAAATACAAATGTACTGATTGCCAACTAGCAAGATTAACGTCATATTGTACAATAAAAAACAACAGGGACGGTATCCAAGGTATAAGCATAGCCTGTACCACTAACCCCTTTGGCTTTCACGTCAAAGAGAGTACAATATTTATTTTGCAATGTTGTTCCAAATAAATAAAGAGAATGATATTAATGTGGACTTGTTTAATTAGGCTCTTGGCTTCCTTACAAGCAGATTCGAAGCCAGCGTGTAGCAGGTGTTGGACAGGAAAACGAACCAAAACAATGTCGTGCACCTCTTTCACCGTTACCAAAGAGAACTGGTCAGCCGCGTTCACTGTGCTAAAATAAACAAAAAACATTATAAACATAAAAGTAATAACCGTGTTCATCTGCAATTCAAAGCTCACTATATTGCTGTTGGATTCCCGATTTTGTGTATATTACTGTTAATAATAACAATAATATTTTTCCCATTAAATATCGGTAAAAAGGAATTATTGATAAAAATTGGGGTAAACGGATGGATTTGGTGTTAACGTCTCCTTTGACAGACCACGGCTTCAATCAGCTATGAAGGAAGGCCACACAAATAGTTTAATTAGACCACTTATGCCATTATTAGGCATAGTTGTAATCTTTGGATTACGTTACCCAAATGTAATTTATTGTGCATTTAATGAAGGCCTGATGTAGTAAGCACAAACCCACACACAACGTTCTGGGCACTCGCTATCGGCATTTGTAAGAAGGGATCCAAAATGAGGCTTTGTCCGTGTGTGTTTTTATTTTGAGCTCTATCTAATGATCTTCCTTTAGGGTAAACGATGAACTCTATTACTGAAGGGATTCCTAAACTTGATTAAGGTCACAACTCTCAAAAGGTCAGAACCCATGCCACAAAGTAGCATTTAATTTAGACCCTTATGTAAACTAAACGGTTAACAACCTAAATTGTGTTAAATAATAATTTACTGACCTGGCTTCTCCTTGGAAGATAGATGTAGGCGTGAAATGATTAATCACTTTATAGGAGTTCGTCGGGGTAGTTTGAGATGCGCTGCACTGTGGTGGAAAGGCCATTCAAGTATATGTGAACGTGTATGTATGTGCGAAAGCTTTCGCTGTTATAGAATGAGCCAATAGATTATCAGATAACCTGTACAATCTGTGTAGTGTCTACCTCTCCCACACTCGTTCTCAATGTAATTTAGGATGGGCAACATTAGGTGTCAGAAAGGTGATGGGGACTGTGTTTTGCTGTCTGCAGGTTTGTGATTCAAAATCTTCTAGCTGATCTAAACCAGCTGGATGGGCTCTTGTAAAAACAACCCTCCCTCGCCAACCTTCATTATCCTAGAATGCTTAGTTTGTCACAGTTGCCACGAAAGAATGAGATTTATTAATCTGAAATACTCCCTAGTTTGCACAAAGCATGTGTATCTAGTCTAATATTTAGTTCTGTAGAGAATGCGATTGTGAGTGTTAGTAGAATATATATATATACGATTATTTTATAGTTATTTTAATTGGCATTTGGGGGACATTGATTTGTTTAAGAACGGGCAGAACTAACGCATATACTGTAGGTTGCTCTCGAATTGTTAAAGGCCTAGACAACAAAAAACAATTTTCCTTTTGGAAAGCATTTTTTGTTCAATGGATATATTCTAAATGGGTCATCATTCATCCGTATGTTGTACAAAGGGCGCATTAATGAATCTGTTGAACCTGGTCGAGTGTTCTCTCAAAAGCATGTAACAGATTAAAATTCAGTCTTAATAAGAATTGGTTTTCAATGCTTCTAAGGCACGAAGAACAAGGTAAACAATATTTGTACAGAACAAAAACAAAAAAACGTGTTTAATCTTTCACTAAGGTATACTGTACATTACTTTTAGAGACAAATGCTCTGTAAAATTAAATATTAAAATATTATTCCAACAAACGACACGAAACTTGACCATTTAAAAAAAAACCTAATATAGATATATATTAGATATAGTAGTTTAATAGAAAAATACGAGTTTTTTCTTCGTATTATTAGTGATCAAGAAAACATCACAAAAATGCTACTATAGGCTCCACTGCAATAACCGTCACATCTGAAAGGTTCACTCCTGCATTAAGATCACAAAATGAATAAGAAATTAGGGCAAGACCGTAAGTATGTACTGTATATGTGTTTTTAGATTTAAATGGTAATTTTGTGCATACAGGAAAATAAGGAAGGTGCAGTGCCGAAGTACACACTACAGCCCAGGCCTGTTTCAGTGTGATCCCGTCATGTTGCCGGAGAGATGTGTAACCCATCCGGCGAGTTCACTGGGACAAGGGAGGACAGCGATGATGTAACGTTTTTCAACACTGAAGAAAATGCTCCCTTCAGCAGAGCATGAGGCTCTATCTTCTCTAGTCCAATTTTCATGGTCTATTAACCATTTATCTGTTTTTCCATTTCCTGTTTTACTAAGGTGTATATATTACACTCACAATGGCATTTGTGTTATTATTGTGCATTCATTTGGGTGTAAAATTTCATTCCCACTCATAATTAATGAGAAAACGGACAAAAACGGAATACCTTGAAATAAATAAACGACACAATGCAGGGTTTTGTCATACATACATCGAATATGTATGTTGATATACCAATTTCTAATGTATCTTTAACGTACCCTCTGCCAATATTTTCATAGTCTCACCTTGCTAGTCTTGCATATACATATAGCGGAAAAGTTCGAATAAACCGTAATGAGGTTTGTAACATACCCTGCAGCGAAGGAAAAGGCCAGTAGAGATTTTCATAAGTGTGAAGAATATTGTTTGCTTAAATTCTAGAAAAACACAGTATAAAATCACTGTGAATTAGATACATCCATTTATTGCAGGTAACAGAAGCTAAAATACGGTCTTATATTAATAAGTACATACATTTTGTAAAGGACATATACTGTACTGAGGTGAAAAGGCTACATTGAAAGAATCTCACTCGGTTTCGCTTTGTATCCTCTGGGAAATGAGCTCTTAATAAGGGACAATACTTTGGCCTTGTTTTACTTTATATAATGTATTTGAGCTCACTCGCTTCCCTCTTTTCGTAACGTAAATACAGCTGTAACCTGACGTAAGTCTATTTTACTTTTTAACATGTGTACAAAAGTTGATTTAATAACTAAAACTTTTTTTCTATGTCATACATATTTATTTAAGACAATATTTATTTCCGTCCTTGTAAGATTACATAATGTACTTTTTTTAAATGCGGGATTTTAACTTAATTGGTAAACTGTGAGTAATATTACGCATTACCATCTGCATTGCGATCACCAATCGTCATTAACAGGCGTATTTGCCATGCAAGGATTGTGTTTTTACTATTTTATTTAATTTTGCCTTTGCTAGTTCTGTATATTCAGTTAGAAGGAATATTATGAAATTCCGGGCTCAAATCTACAAGAACTTCCTTGTGTGTAATCTATCGAAAATTAAAAGGATTAGCTACATTCCTCAAAGGATCGTCTCTAATTTTCCGCACTTCAGACGTGTATTACAGTTTATCCAGCAAACATTC